TTCTGCCTCTAGGAGGCCTCCTTTTGAGCCCAGCAGGGTGGTCAAACTAGCCAATCATAGCATCAGAACTCTAAGCACCTGAGAGAGAGTGGGCACCTCCCAGAACATTGTTTTGTGCCTCTCCCAACAGAAATACTCCAAGTGGATAACTTCAGCAATGAGGAGCTCCTCAGTTGCTCATAGAAAATCTCACCTTGGAGTTTACAAAGACTTAATGGTTAGAAAAGCCACACTAAGTAATTTACTACACCGCAGTCTTTGAATTAGGTTTATTTAAAATAGTAAGATCTAAGAAATGTGTCTAATAACCATTATTGCTATTTAGAATAAAAAGAAAGATGCAAGTTTTGGTTATAATTGTTTCTAAGTACTTGAAGTATCATGGATATGACCATACTAAATTCCTGGGACAGGTAAGTGGTAATGGAAAATTTGAGATTACCATATTCAACATATATAAGACTCTAGTGTATATTGACTTCCCAGTAAAACCTCAGTGGAATTTAAAATGCTTAAATACCCAAAAGAATACATGGCATACTGGTTAATGTTAATAAACAAGAAGATAAAAAAGGAACGAATGATGGCTACAGAAGTTAAGTGATAATTTAGCAACTGTTTGCCTCAACTGTTCATTTCTTGGGGTGGAATTTATTTTTATAAAAAAAATCTAATATGTTTTTTAGTTGATCTAAGTAGCATATTGGATGTTATTTGCTATTTCATAATATGTAGTAGGTTCCATTTGTCTAGTAAACCTCAGCCTTTTGGACTTTGTAACCTCAAAAAGGGTAATTAATTTCTGCTGGGGGTAATTCCAAATTATTCATATTAACCAGATATAAAAGGACTAATATATGCCAATAATGTATTAAATTTTGTGAGAAGCAAAGCTACCAGTGGAGCCATGCATGCTTTTTATCTTCTAACAATTCCCACCCGATAGGTGTATTATATAGGAGAGCAGTTTATAATCAGAGATTGCTTAGTATAAAAGCCTTTTGTTTTTATATTGATAAAGAATATAGATTTTTTTAGGTCTGATTAAGGTTAAATCAGTATCTATTTCCTGTTCACCTTCTCCAGCGTTCACACAAACGCAACAAGGAAAATAAAAAATACACCATACTCTCTACCTATATGACTCACTCCTCATATGAAGCAAAGCTAAGAAGATCAATACATACCCAAACAATAAAATATATTCAAAGGCTGCTTAAGTAACTGAATTCTAGCAGAAACCACATGGAAAGAAGGGAAGAGAAAACATGGAATATTGTGAATGCCCAGTAGTGGCAGAACTCATATTCTGACAGTAAATTGTACTTCCTAAAGCTGAGGGTTCATTTTTGAGGTATAAAAGCATTATCCATGTTTTTTGGCAAGCCTCATGGGAATTGGGGTAAGCGGGCTAGGACAGAAGTCCTCCCTGATGTGATTTGGTTTAGCAAAGGACCCATATTTGAATAAAGCATTCTGTCTCTTTAATATCAGGTAATGGGACAGTCTTTTGGTTTTCGAGCCTGTAAAGATAACCTGTACTTCATCTCCACTCATATTCCTGAACCTTCAAATAGCTGGTCTAGCAAAATTCAGTTCATTTCAGTGATAAACAATTTATAAATAATTGGCTTAGCACTAATAAAACAAATATTAAGAAGAGATAAAAACAAGCTGCAAAGTTTAGCAATAAATTTGAGTCAAACACAAATTCTAACTCGTGATGATCCTATGTGTGCAGAGTAGAACTACTTTATAAGGTTTTCAAAAAAAATGACCTTTCAGAAGCATGTCACCAGGCCTGTTTTCCAAGTGCCTCTGGTGGGCTAGAACCACAGCCTTTTGGCATGCAGTCAAGCACTTAACAATTTGTGTCACCCAGGGACCCCATGTACAGAGTATACACACATATACACACACAAAAAAATGGCACAAATCAAATGAATCTTGACCTTAAATTTTTTTGTAAACAATTTAAGTGTTCACTTCTTTGAAAGAAAACTGAAAAGTAGAAATGTTTTTTAAAAAAAACTGTGGGAAAATTTGGGAATGGGTTTTCTCTGTTATATTCAGATGCTGTTATCAGTGTAGGGTGTGTTTTAAGCCAGTCACATATAAGAGCGAAAAAGTGCTGATTAGACATAGAGAAAGTAGTAGAGATGGGGAAAGATGCCGTGCCATATGAAGATCACCAAGGAGCCAAGGAGTAGAAAAGGAAGAGACAAGGACCTTCCCCCACAACCAACAAAGAGAAAAAATTCCTGTAGAGCTAGGACCGTGAATTCAGACTTCTAGCCTCCTAAGTGAGAGAAAATAAATTTCTGTTTATGAAAGAAAAAAAAAAGCAGGAAAAAATGTCACAACAACCAGAATAAATGAATTTTGAGCTAGCAAAACCCAGGAAAGAAGAAAGCAGCAAACTAGTTTTTAAAGTTGGAGCACAAAGGCAAATAGACACTTCAGGAAACTCAATAGAGGATTTAGAGGATACAGCAGGAAAAGTAGAATGAAACCGAAATAAAGAAGAAGAAAAAGAAATCCTCACAGCTCGACCAGTAAGTAACATTATCATGATAAATGGAGAAAAGATTGGAGTTGTCAAGGATTTCATTTTACTTGGACCCACAATCAACATTCATAGAATATCAGTCAAGAAATCAAACCATGTACTGCACTGGGAAATCTGCTGAAAAAGATCTCTTTAAAGTGTTAAAGAGGAAAGGTGTCACTTTGAGAATTATGGTGCACCTGACCCATGCCATGGTATCACTTCATATGCATGTGAAAGGTGGACAGTGAATATGGAAGACCAAAGAGCAATTGATGCTTTGGAATTACTTTGTTGGTGAAGAATATTGAATGTACAATGCACTGCCAGAAGAACGAACGAATTTGTTTTGGAAGAAGTATAGCCAGAATGCTGTTTGGAAGTGAAGATGTCAAGACTTCATTTCGTGTACTCTGACATATAATCAGGAGAAGACCAGTCCCTGGAGAAAGGTCATCATGCTCAGTAAAGTGAAGGGTCAGCAAAAAAGAGGAAGACCATCAACAAGATGGATTGACATAGTAGTGGCTGGAACAATGGGCTCAAATACAGCAGTGATTGTGAGGATGGCTCAAGATCGGGCAGTGTTTCGTTTTGTTGTACATGGGGTTGCTTTCAGTCAGAACCAACTTGACAGCACCTAACAACAACAACAAGGAGAGCTTAAGGAGAAAATATTATCAATAGAAGGTAGGTAGTTATGTATATGAAATGTATGTAAAATTATGGTTTCTGAAAAGTTTAAAGGAAGAGGATAAGTATTTGAAATTATAATTCAGTACATTCATGAAAACTGTCTGAAATAAAAAGTGAATCTTTATATTCAAAGCGCACAGTATAATGTTGGAAAAAAGAACTCAAAATGGTCAAAATTCAGACATATTCTAGCAAAGTTAATGTTTATCAAGAATGAATCTTTTGCTAGGAGGAAAGACCTGGCAGTCTACTTCCAAAAGGTCAGCCAGTAGAAACCCGAAGGAGCACAACAGCCCGATCCACCACCAATCACGGGGACAACTCAGACCGGGCAGCAATGTGTTCTGTGGTGTGTGGGGCCAACTCGATGTCAGTTAACAACCACAACATGACATAGGTACGATGTGAAACAGCGTGAAATGAGACACAAAGACAGAAAGGAACTTACTGCCCCAGGTCACACAACCAGTTGGAGGCAGAGTCCAGACTCAAACTCAGGAGGTCTGTCTCCAGGCTCTGTGTTCATAACCTCACTGTGTGGCCCAGGTACACCCACACACACACACACCCTCCTCCTGAAATCCCAATCCCGAGCACCCAGGATGGATCGTCCACCATAATTGTTTATTTCTGTTGTCACACTACATTCAGCTGTCAGCCCTGTGAGGGCAGGGCAGCACCTGGCTCAGTGCTCAGCACTAAGGCAGCATGTGTCCAAGGAAGGATGGAAGAAAGAAGCAGGGGTCAAGCCAGAGCCATCTGATGAGAATCAATACCCACAATTCTCTCAACTCCAAG